ACGAAAATTGGGTATAAATGGACTCTGTCAAATTTTCACAGATTACAGGACACTGATAAATTTGCTCTCAAAGTAGACTCTGGCGATTTTCTGGTGATAATTGGACTCTGATGAAATATGAGCTGAAAACTGTCTCTGACTAATTTTGCTCACAAAGTAGACTCTGACGAATTTCTGTTGATAATTGGACTCTGATGAAATATGAGCTAAATACTGTCTCTGACTAATTTTGCTCACAAAGTAGACTCTGACGAATTTTGCTCTCAAAGTGGACTCTGACGATTTTTCGGTATAAACTGGACTCTGATGAAATATGAGCTTAAAACTGGGCTCTGTTCAATTTGGTCTTTACAGATGAAATAGCCGTAAATGGATATAAAACTAAATGTTATGGATAAGTTGTCTGTTTTCCTTAACAAAACATCTAAGACAATATTCTCTGAAAATGGTCCTTTTACAAATTCGGTCATAAATATATAAATAAACTTCTATGATTATTTGAAACTCTGAAAATAGTTGTAAGGAAATAGGAGGAGGAGGAGAGAGAGAGAGAGAGGAGGGATGGTCGAGATATTATGGAGAAGATAAGATAAGATAAGAGGTCTGGCTGGCCGGGCGTAAAGTAAATAAAGGTGACGCGACAGATTGCGAGGTAAGGGGGGGGGAGGGAGGGGGGTGTGATGTACGAGACTTGAAAACCATGACTTACACAGGTGATTTTCTAAATTTATATGAATAACTATGGCTTACATAGACGATTTTGTAAGTTGAAAACATGTAAAATATGTCCGTAGAGTTCTCCTGGAAACCCTAAAGAGCTACATACGTTACTTGAATTTCTCCCATAAGGCCTTAACAAACTTCTAAGTCTCGGAAATTATTTTTCTCATAAGAATTCCATACTTCTAAAATCTCGGAAATTACTTACTCATAAGAAATCCTTAATCCAAAATCTGTGAGTCCCCAAATTCACCTGAAAAAAAAAAAGGGCCTGTGCGTCTTACACCGCACAGGGGTCCTCTCGCCTGAAAAAAAAAAGGAGCCTGTGCGTCTTACACCGCACAGGGGTCCTCTCGCCTGAAAAAAAAAGGAGCCTGTGCGTCTTACACCGCACAGGGGTCCTCCGCCCCCCCCCAAAAAAAGGAGCCTGTGCGTCTTCCTCCCTACTACTGTGGTTGTCTGGTGGGATGGTAGTGGTTGTGTTGTGGGATGGTAGTGGTTGTCTGGTGGGATGGTAGTGGTTGTCTGGTGGGATGGTAGTGGTTGTCTGGTGGGATGGTAGTGGTTGTGTGGTGGGATGGTAGTGGTTGTCTGGTGGGATGGTAGTGGTTGTCTGGTGGGATGGTAGTGGTTGTCTGGTGGGATGGTAGTGGTTGTCTGGTGGGTTGGTAGTGGTTGTCTGGTGGGATGGTAGTGGTTGTCTGGTGGGATGGTAGTGGTTGTCTGGTGGGATGGTAGTGGTTGTGTTGTGGGATGGTAACAGTTAAATGGTACGATGCTAAGAGCTGGTTGACGACGCGGTAGGGCGGTCATTACGACCCCTGAACATTTATTTCATTTTGAGCCAAAGAGTTGAGTCCCCGAGGACCACGACCTCCCTCCCCCTCGAGTACCGACGACCACGATGCCCCGGCATGGAAGAGGATGGACTAGAGTGGACCAGCACCTACGACGCTGGCAACCTTTAGACGCCCGACACATCTAACATACCTCCGGGCGAGCCTGGCCGACCCCCAGCCACCAGCCCCCAGCCCCCAGCCACCAGCCACAAGCCACCAGCCACCAGCCACCAGCCACCAGCCACCAGCCACAAGCCACAAGCCACCAGCCACAAGCCACCAGCCACCAGCCCCCAGCCCCCAGCCACCAGCCCCCAGCCACCAGCCACCAGCCACCAGCCACCAGCCACCAGCCACCAGCCCCCAGCCACCAGCCACCAGCCACAAGCCACCAGCCACCAGCCACCAGCCACCAGCCACCAGCCTCCAGCCACCAGCCACCAGCCACCAGCCACCAGCCACCAGCCACCAGCCACCAGCCACCAGCCACCAGCCACCAGCCCCCAGCCACCAGCCTCCAGCCCCCAGCCACCAGCCACCAGCCACAAGCCACCAGCCACAAGCCACCAGCCACCAGCCACCAGCCCCCAGCCATGGCCTCTCCTCGCGTGCTTCACTTGCATATGTGGCTCTTGCATGTATGTAGAGCTGGGCAGTTATATGTGTCTACAGTAAAACACATAAGTTCAACTCATTTGAGCGATGGTTTATCTTTCACAGGGTGGACAAAGACAGACTATTTAGCTGTGGTGGGACACGCTCAAGGGGACGCAGTACCTAAATGAGCCACAGAGACATTATAATTTTTTTGTTCAGTGTCAGAGTAGTTAACGGATGGAATGCATTAGGCAGTGATGTGGTGGAGGCTGACTCCATACACAGTTTCAAGTGTAGATATGATGGAGCCCAGTAGGCTCAGGAATCTGTACACCGGTTGGTTGACGGTTGAGAGGCGGGACCAAAGAGCCAGAGCTCAACCCCCGCAAACACAACTAGGTGAGTACACTAAACACAAGTCTTGGTTTCAATTTTTTTATGGCAACATTAGCTTATTAATAAGCATTACTTAGCGCTACCTTACCTGGTTACCTGGTGTTGGCTTCGGGGCTTAGCGTCCCCGCGGCCCAGTTCTCGCCCAGGCCTCCTAGTTGCTGGACTGGTCAACCAGGCTGTTGGACGCGGCTGCTCGCAGCCTGACGTATGAGAGGCAGCCTGGTTGATCAGGTCGCAGTCATGTTAGTATATTAAGAAAATTGGAACCATCTGTGTGCCAGATGCTTGACATGGTCGGTGGCTTGATTTCACACGAATGTTGAGCGAAAATGTCCCAAATGCAAGCCAGTGTTGTAGTGAATGACCGCTGATGGCGTGATGGTCTTGACAATGACGCCCCCAGCATGAGCCTGGTGATGGCTGAGCGCCTTGCGTTGTGTCTGCCAAACCTTTGGCTGTCTACCAAGCTGGGTCATGTGGGGAATCTTGAAGACATTAACCTGATGCATAGCAATGAGGCTGCAAACGTCACTGTTCGTATACCATGACCAGAACTGCTTTACACAGCACTGTAGGACCCGGTCCTTACCTACCTTGAGGTTACCTTGAGGTGCTTCCGGGGCTTAGCGTTCCCGCGGCCCGGTCGTCGACCAGGCCTCCTGGTTGCTGGACTGGTCAACCAGGCTGTTGGACGCGGCTGCTCGCAGCCTGACGTATGAGTCACAGCCTGGTTGATCAGGTATCCTTTGGAGGTGCTTATCCAGTTCTCTCTTGAACACTGTGAGGGGTCGGCCAGTTATGCCCCTTATGTGTAGTGGAAGCGTGTTGAACAGTCTCGGGCCTCTGATGTTGATAGAGTTCTCTCTCAGAGTACCTGTTGCACCTCTGCTTTTCAACGGGGGTATTCTGCACATCCTGCCATGCCTTCTGGTCTCATGTGATGTTATTTCTGTGTCCTGCATACCCTTGCCCTACCCTGTCCAGCCAGCCTTCCTGCCCAGGTCTGTCTTGCCCTGCTTCACATAGACAACAATGTTCATACTGAGCCTTGCTCTTGGCGTGTCTAATTTACCCAAATTTACTCAAGTCGACTCAAACTTCCCTAGCATTACATAAGTATTGAAGAACTATCTTGAGATTGAGACTATCTTGAGATTATCTCGAGATTATCTTCTTGAGATTATCTTGAGATGATTTCGGGGCTTTTTAGTGTCCCCGCGGCCCGGTCCTCGACCAGGCCTCCACCCCCAGGAAACAGCCTGTGACAGCTGACTAACACCCAGGTACCTATTTTACTGCTAGGTAACAGGGGGCATAGGGTGAAAGAAACTCTGCCCATTGTTTCTCGCCGGCGCCCGGGATCGAACCCGGGACCACAGGATCACAAGTCCAGTGTGCTGTCCGCTCGGCCGACCGGCTCCTTAACTATGATATATTTACTCACTATAATGTTGGCACTGAATGTAGAACATGAAAAAAACATATTTTTACTCTGATATAATATAATTTTATAACGAAATTGGATCCATCTAATGACCCCCAAGCCACAACAGTCACTTGGATCATGGACTCTATGTCGTCTCCTGCCACTTAGTTTCGTCTAATTTCGTTATAAAATGATATTTCAGAGTAAAAATATGTTTTTCTCCATGTTGTACATTCAGAACCAACATTATAGCGAGTAAATGTCATAGTTACTTATAATAATAATAATTTTTATTTAGGCAAAGGTACATACATAAAGAGATTTTACAAAGTTTGTTGGCTTTATAGATAAGAGCTAGTACATACAATGCCTAAAGCCACTATTACGCAAAGCTTTTCGGGCAGAACTTCGGACTCGGACTCGGACTTCATTACTTATGTAATGGTAGAAGGCCCTTGGGTAGTTAGACGGATCCCCTCTTGTTCTAGCCTGAAATCCCTGCCCAGGTCTGCTTGCCCTGCCATAGCCAGCCATGCCCTGCCATAGCCAGCCATAGCATGCCATTTCCTGCCATGGCATGCCATGTCATAGCCTGCCATGCCCTGTCATAGCCTGCCATGCCCTGTCATAGCCTGCCATGCCCTGTCATAGCCTGCCATGCCCTGTCATAGCCTGCCATGCCCTGTCATAGCCTGCCATGCCCTGTCATAGCCTGCCATGCCCTGTCATAGCCTGCCATGCCCTGTCATAGCCTGCCATGCCCTGTCATAGCCTGCCATGCCCTGCCATGGCCTGTAATAGCCTGTCATGGCCTGTAATAGCCTGTCATGCCCTGTCATAGCCTGCCATGCCCTGCCATGGCCTACCATAGCATGCCATTTCCTGCCATGCAATGCCCTGACATGGCCTGTAATAGCCTGCCATGCCCTGTCATAGCCTGCCATGCCCTGCCATAGCCTGCCATGCCCTGCCATGCCCTGCCATGCCCTGCCATGCCCTGCAATGCCTTATCATGCCCTGACATGGCCTACCATGCCCTGCCGTGGCCTGCCATGTCTTACTATGCCCTGCCATGCCCTGCCATGCCCTGTCATGCCCTGCCGTGGCCTGCCATGCCCTGCCGTGGCCTGCCATGCCCTGCCATGCCCTGCAATGCCTTGTCATGCCCTGACATGGCCTACCATGCCCTGCCGTGGCCTGCCATGTCTTACTATGCCCTGCCATGCCCTGCCATGCCCTGCCATGCCCTGCCGTGGCCTGCCATGCCCTGCCATGCCCTGCCATGCCCTGTCATGCCCTGCCGTGGCCTGCCATGTCTTACTATGCCCTGCCATGCCCTGCCGTGGCCTGCCATGTCTTACTATGCCCTACCATGCCCTACCATGCCCTACCATGCCCTGACATGCCCTGCCATGCCCTGCCATGCCCTGCCATGCTCTACCATGCCCTACCATGCCCTACCATGCCCTACCATGCCCTGCCATGCCCTGCCATGCCCTGCCGTGCCCTGCCATGCCCTGCCATGCCCTGCCATGCCCTGCCGTGCCCTGCCATGCCCTGTTATGCCCTGTCGTGCCCTGCCATGCCCTGCCATGCCCTGCCATGCCCTGCCGTGCCCTGCCATGCCCTGCCATGCTCTACCATGCCCTACCATGCCCTGCCATGCCCTGCCATGCCCTACCATGCCCTGCCATGCCCTGCCATGCCCTGACATGCCCTGCCATGCCCTGCCATGCCCTGCCATGCCCTACCATGCCCTGCCGTGCCCTGCCATGCCCTGCCGTGCCCTGCAGTGCCCTGCCATGCCCTGCCGTGCCCTGCCATGCCCTGCCATGCCCTGCCGTGGCCTGCCATGCCCTGACATGCCCTGCCATGCCCTGCCATGCCCTGCCATGCCCTGCCGTGCCCTGCCGTGCCCTGCCATGCCCTGCCATGCCCTGCCATGCCCTGCCATGCCCTGCCCTGCCATGCCCTGCCGTGCCCTGCCATGCCCTGCCGTGCCCTGCCGTGCCCTGCCATGGCCTGCCATGCCCTGCCGTGGCCTGCCATAGCCTGCCATGCCCTGCCATGCCCTGCCGTGGCCTGCCATAGCCTGCCATGCCCTGCCGTGGCCTGCCATGCCCTTCCATAGCCTGCCATGCCCTGCCATGCCCTGCCATGCCCTGCCGTGGCCTGCCATAGCCTGCCATGCCCTGCCATGCCCTGCCGTGGCCTGCTATAGCCTGCCGTGCCCTGTTCTTCCTCCATCGAGTCAATATTTGCTAGTCGACCAAGGGCAACACTTGACCTGTCTCTCAATATGCCTTCTCCTCCTCCTCCTCCTTTTACTTCTCTTCCTCTTCCCTCTTCCTTCTAGTCCCCCTCATTACCCCCCCCCCCACCTCTCCTCTTCCTCCTCCTCCCCTTGTCGTTATTCTTCTCAACCGTTTCTCCTTCTGTTTCTCTTATTCTCTTTCTTCCCCCTACTCATCTTCCCACTTTCTCTCCTCTTTTCGTTCTCCTCCGCTTCTTCCTCCCGCATTCCTCGTCATGTTCCTTTTCTTTATATAACCTGTTTATTTTATTTCCTTTTTTTCCTTCCATGACATTCTCAGAGACGTTTGGTTAAATACTGTGATGCTTTGGTCTGGGTGTGCTCTCCTGATGGGCTCACCTGATGGGCTCACCTGATGGGCTGATCTGATGGGCTGATCTGATGGGCTGATCTGATGGGCTGATCTGATGGGCTGACCTGATGGGCTCACCTGATGGGCTGATCTGATGGGCTCACCTGATGGGCTCTCCTGATGGGCTGACCTGATGGGCTCATCTGATGGGCTGATCTGATGGGCTCACCTGATGGGCTGACCTGATGGGCTCACCTGATGGGCTGATCTGATGGGCTCACCTGATGGGCTCTCCTGATGGGCTGACCTGATGGGCTCACCTGATGGGCTGATCTGATGGGCTGATCTGATGGGCTGACCTGATGGGCTCACCTGATGGGCTCACCTGATGGGCACTTGATGTGCTCATCTGGTGTGTTCATCTGATGCGTTCATCTGATGTGATCATCTGAGGCGTTCATCTGATGTGTTCATCTGATGTGCTCATCTGATGTGTTCATCTGATGTGTTCACCTGATGTGTTCATCTGATGTCCTCATCTGATGTGTTCACCTGATGTGTTCATCTGATGTGCTCATCTGATGTGTTCATCTGATGCGTTCATCTGATGTGATCATCTGAGGCGTTCATCTGAGGCGTTCATCTGAGGTGTTCATCTGATGCGTTCATCTGATGTGTTCATCTGATGTGCTCATCTGATGTGTTCACCTGATGTGCTCATCTGATGTGATCATCTGATGCTTTCATCTGATGTGCTCATCTGATGTGTTCACCTGATGTGTTCATCTGATGTGCTCATCTGATGTGTTCATCTGATGTGTTCACCTGATGTGTTCATCTGATGTGCTCATCTGATGTGTTCACCTGATGTGTTCATCTGATGTGTTCACCTGATGTGTTCATCTGATGTGCTCATCTGATGTGTTCACCTGATGTGTTCATCTGATGTGATCACAGTGAATACAATAGGGTGAATACACACACACACACACACACACTATATATATAGTGTATATATATATATATATATATATATATATATATATATATATATATATATATATATATATATATATATATATATATATATATATATATATAATAAACTGTGCCCATTGTTTCTCGCCGGCGCCAGGAATCGAACCCAGGCCACTGGATTACGTGTCCAGCGTGCTATCCACACAGCCACCGGCGCCCCTAGGTGTGTGTGAGTGCGTATATATATATATATATATATATATATATATATATATATATATATATATATATATATATATATATATATATATGTCGTACCTAGTAGCCAGAACGCACTTCTCAGCCTACTATGCAAGGCCCGATTTGCCTAATAAGCCAAGTTTTCATGAATTAATTGTTTTTCGACTACCTAACCTACCTAACCTAACCTAACCAAACTTTTTCGGCTACCTAACCAAACCTAACCTATAAAGATAGGTTAGGTTAGGTTAGGTAGGGTTGGTTAGGTTCGGTCATATATCTACGTTAATTTTAACTCCAATAAAGAAACTTGACCTCATACATAATGAAATGGGAAGCTTTATCATTTCATAAGAAAAAAATTAGAAAAAATATATTAATTCAGGAAAACTTGGCTTATTAGGCAAATCGGGCCATTCATAGTAGGCCAAAAAGTGAGTTCTGGCTACTAGGTACGACATATATATATATATATATATATATACATACACTCCCAGGCCGGCAGAGGAGCACACATACACGCACTCACACACACCTAGGGGCGCCGGTGGCTGTGTGGATAGCACGCTGGACACGTAATCCAGTGGCCTGGGTTCGATTCCTGGCGCCGGCGAGAAACAATGGGCACAGTTTCTTTCACCCTGATGCGCCTCTTCACCTAGCATCAAATTGGTACCTGGGAATTAGACAGCTGTTAGAGCTGCTTCCTGGGGATATGTTTGTGTGTGCGCTCTTGGGATAAGTATATGTTTTACATATAATACGGGAAAATAAGTTGGGACATTACATAAGAACATAAGAACAAAGGCAACTGCAGAAGGCCTGTTGGCCCATACGAGGCAGCTCCTATTTATAACCCAATCCCACTCATATACTTGTCCAACCCGCGCTTGAAACAATCGAGGGATCCCACCTCCACAATGTTACGCGGCAATTGGTTCCACAAATCAACAACCCTGTTACTGAACCAGTATTTACCCAAGTCTTTCCTAAATTTAAACTTATCCAATTTATACCCATTGTTTCGTGTTCTGTCTTGTATTGATACTTTTAATACCCTATTAATATCCCCTTTGTTATGCCCATTCACCCATTTGTAAACCTCTATCATGTCACCCCTAACTCTTCGCCTTTCCAGTTAATGCAACTTAAGCTTTGTTAATCTTTCTTCATATGAAAGATTTCTAATTTGGGGAATTAACTTAGTCATCCGACGTTGGACACGTTCAAGTGAATTTATATCCATTCTATAATACGGCGACCAAAACTGAACTGCATAATCTAAATGGGGCCTAACCAGAGCAAGATATAGCTTAAGAACCACACCAGGTGTCTTGTTACTAACGCTTCGATTAATAAATCCCAGTGTCCTATTCGTCTTATTACGAACATTCATGCATTGATCCTTTTGTTTTAAATTCTTACTAATCATAACTCCCAGATCCCTTTCGCATTCCGACTTCGCAATCTCAACACCATCTAGCTCGTATCTTGTAACTCTATCATCATTACCTAGCCTCAGAACTTTACATTTATCAGCATTAAACTGCATTTGCCAATCCTTTGACCATTTCAAAACCCTATCTAGATCAACTTGAAGTGATAGTGAGTCCTCCTCCGAATTAATTTCCCTACCGATTTTCGTATCATCGGCAAATTTGCAAATGTTGCTACTCAAACCTGAATCTAAATCATTTATATATATTATAAACAACAGAGGTCCCAGGACAGAGCCCTGAGGTATTCCACTAACAACATTATCCCACTCTGACTTAACCCCATTTATACTAACTCTCTGTTTCCTTTGGAATAGCCATCCCCTAATCCAAGTTAATATAGCACCACCAATACCATGAGCTTCTATTTTTTTAATTAGTCTTTCATGTGGCACTGTATCAAAAGCTTTGCTAAAGTCAAGGTACACAACATCACAAGCCTTACCACTATCAACTGCCTCAACTATGCTGGAATAAAAAGTTAGCAAATTTGTTAAACATGAACGGCCATTTGTAAAACCATGTTGCGACTCATTTATTAATTTATGTTTTTCAAGATGGAGACGAATTGTATTTGCAATTATTGATTCAAGTAACTTTCCCACAATAGACGTTAGGCTAATTGGCCGATAGTTTGACGCAAGTGATCTATCTCCTTTCTTAAAAATTGATACCACATTAGCTACCTTCCATGACTCTGGCACTCTGCCTGACTCTATTGATTTATTAAATATGGTAGACAGTGGCTCGGAAAGCTCCTCTTTGCATTCTTTAAGCACCCTGGCAAACACTTCATCCGGCCCTGGGGATTTGTTTGGTTTTAGATTTTCTAATTGTTTAATTACATCCTCCCTGGTAACTGCTAAACTAGTCAACCTGTCCTCATCCTCACCCACATAGACTTGTTCGGCTGAAGGCATATTGTTAAGTTCTTCTTTTAGTAAATACAGATATAAAATATTTGTTAAAAATACTACTCATCTCCTTGTCATTATCCGTTATTTGACCTGTCTCAGATTTTAATGGACCTATCCTTTCCCTAGTCTTAGTTCGATATAACTGAAAAAACCCTTTAGGATTTGACTTTGCTTGCTCTGCTATGCGAACTTCATAGTTTCTTTTTGCTTTCCTAATCTCTTTTTTAACATTTCTAACCAGTTGTATGAATTCCTGTTCTAACCTGACTTCCCCATTCTTAATCCTTAATTAGACAACCGACAGTTAGAAAGGCGGGGTCCAAGAGCTAATAGCTCGATCTTGCAGGTAGAAATAGTATAATAGACATGCATACACTCTCTCTCTCTCTCTCTCTCTCTCTCTCTCTCTCTCTCTCTCTCTCTCTCTCTCTCTCTCTCTCTCTCTCTTTACACAGGAGTGTACAGGAATAGACTCCTGCTGACTCCTGTTAGGAGGCTGAGAGCTTTCCCATCACACAGCTCATGGTAAACCTTCCACACTAGTTTACCCTAGAATTACACCCCCCCCCCTCCCCTCGCCAATCGTTAAACAACCCGGAACCCAATTACTGCTGGGTGATCAGAGGCGAACAGTTAAGGACTGACACATAATCCTCCCCGGCCGGGATGCGAACCTTCCCCCAAGTTCTTTACCATATCCTGGCATCAGCCGACCCCACTACGATACCATCCGTCTCCTCCACAATAAAAAGCCGTCCAGGACCTTCATTTACATTACGGGCTATTCATGCCCGTGCCACCTCTTGAGTGGCTT